AGGAATGTCAGCAAGAAGGAGTAACATTTTCTCTCAGCGTGTGCCAAGCCTACATGAAATAAGAAACAAGTTATAGTGAGAGAGAATAAAGCCCAGATTGATGTGACCTTTATTATTTTAACAGTGTCTTTCAGCACAATTACCGAGTTGCAGGATTGCAGAGAACAGAGCTGGAGTATAAAATAACATAAATAAATAGAACAGGAGCCAAAGCAGTCAGCAGGAGGTGGTTGGAATTGGGCAGTGAAGGATGGGTGAAGGGTTTGCATTGGTCAAAGCCTTTATGATTCAGCCACCAGAGTTGCAAATTCTGGAGAAAGGAAAAAAATAAATAAAAAAATATTAAAAAAAAGAAAATGTAAAGGAAGGAGCATACTACAATGATTACAGACTCACTGGTGTAGCAGAAACATCACAACAACAGAAGAACAAAGAAAACCAAGTTAATTAAAGGGGAAGTATGGCTTGGGGAATCTTACAGTGCAATGAAAGGGTCTTTTGAGGGCAAGGGAGAAATGCTGTACATGCCAGACTGTCAGGACTGTCCACTGCTATTCATCTGAAGAACTTGATTACTTCCCTCTTATTCCTTTGTAAATCTCAATGGGAAGAAGGCAAGAACTGGAAATTCAATTTTGCAGTGAGATAAATTTCCTTCATATCAGAGTTTGGCAAAGAGACTCATTAATGACTCACAGTACACGTGTCCCTATATTATGAATATATTACATTTAAACTAAGTTTCATCATGGCAAATTGACTGAAAATGGCATACTACAAAACCAAGGCTGACGTCAACCTGCATAGCCATCTTGACCACATTGGGGATAACAAGAAAAATTCCTGTGATCTCAGAGGGCCAGGATTTTACCACGTGTTTTTTTATTAGTGTGACATCCATAATATTTACCTAAATGTATCTGTCAGCAGTTTGGGGTTATTTTATACTTTCTGTGTGTACGTGATGCCTTTCAGCAGGGTGATAAAGCATGGGGAAGGCACAGCTGTGTCCTGGGTGAGCCCCTGCCTGCCATGCTGCACTCCAAATGCTGTGTTAGCCAAGGAGGTTATAATTCCAAACTCCACCCAACCTTGGAACCTCACAGGGTCACGTGTGCCTTGGAGCATCAAGAGTGACAGACTGGAGGGAATCCCAAGAAGGGCAACAAGGATGATAAAGGGATTAGAGGGTACACAGAGAGAGTGGTTTATGGGTTTAACATAATCAGCTGAGAGGAAAACTGACAAACAGGGGAGGCAGTTATCTGTAAAGGCTCAAGATTGAAGCTGGACATAATGAAGAATAATGTCTTGCAACTAAAAGAGAAGATGAAAATTAGGCATTTTAAATAACATCCAAATCTTTAGTTGAAAAGCACTAAACTCTAAACAAGGGAGATCTTTACTGTCTGGCATGTGCAAACAGATAGCACTTTTGATGACATCTCCAAAAAAAACCCCATATTGCCAAATGCTGACAAACCAGACTGAGAAATAAAAGTGCCAGAAGGTTTAAATTAAATCCAAATTTATCCATCATTGTGAAAGATGTAAATCCAAATTAGGATTAGCGATGCAGATTATTTAAAACACACATAAATCCTGTGCATGGGGGGTACGTAGATTGAAAGTGTTGCAAACTGAATTTAAGAGATTATAACACAAAGTGCCTGTGATAGAACCCCACAGTATTCTGGGCAGAGAAGGAAAAAGGCTGTGATTGTGAAATCACTATGTGAATAAATGCTGCAGAGAGAAGCATGAACTGCAGTGGAGGAAACCTTTCCAAAAGGGAAAACTAACTGCATATTCTATTAGAACATGTTGTCATACCTGCTACAGCTAAATTAAATCCTTTTTATAATAACTTGTACCTACGGAATATATTTGGAAAAGGTTATTCAGACTTGCAGCCAAGTATCTTCTATAATAGATTATGACTGATATTATCTCTTAATGGCAATATATTTCATGGGTACTTTCTGATAGCCAGCAAACCATGAAATACTCCTTCATGAACAACTGCTATACGCTTTAGACCTTCCCCAGGATTTTCAATATACTTTAAATGTTTCAAAGACGTTGCAGTTGAATGAGCTTCTAAGCTAGCTCACTATTTATTTTCCTGTGAAGGTCAGCCCAACCACAGGTGGCTTGTGGAGGCATTGTTACAAAGCCCATTCATACACCAAAGCTGCTGAGATGAAGCAGAGTCTATTAGCCCCTGCCTGATGGTCATTCTTGTAAATGTTTATTGCCTCTGACTGGCCTGTTAGTGAGAGAACCCTGGTGACTGACTACATCCTCTTTTCTAGTGTAATTCTCTCTCCAAACAAAATTAAGCTGTGTCTCTCTTTGCAGAAAGAATAGTTTTAAATTACAAGGGTTTAGACTTCTTTGTCTAAAATAATTTGTTAAAATAATTTACTAGCTGTCTTGTGTCAAATCTCTGACTTAAAAGGAAAAGATTATTTCACTGTGTTCAGTCTAGTTTAATGGTACAAACCAGCCTAATGCAGACCCTGTTAGTATTTTACTGAAATGACAGCTATAATTACAGAGAACATGCTGTAGGCTAATCATTTCTGTCATCAGATTGTGTTTTTTTACATTATCTGTACAATAGCAAATCTGTTTAGGATCTTCGTAAGTAATGACTTACACATTTCTTTTAGAACATCAAGCACAAAGAGGGATAAGAAAAGAAGGGCTTAGAGAAGGTTTTCCTTTTCTGTCATGACTTATTAGTGGTAATTTTGAATGTCTGAGGTCTCATTTTTACAACATTTAAAGAAAATAATTCAAACATTTAAAAATATTTGCAGAAGTTGAGCTGTATGAAGGAAAAGATTTGACTTACTGGGACAAAAATTTGGATTTGTTCTGTCTACGATGCCTAATCTTTGAAAATTCTCTGTGTACTTTCTCAAGTCTATTCATATCAAGAGACTGAAAGGTGAGATGTGCATGTCCAGTGCTAATACACAAAATAGATTAAAAAAACCCCAACAACATAGTGAGCAGAAATCTTCATTGTCTTTTCTCCTCTTTCTTATAAACGTTCTCCTGAAGCTGGCAGAGCTGCTTCAGCATACTTCCCAATCCACTCTTAAAGCTAATGTTTGTAGTTTTAAGTAACCTGGCCTTGACCTGCAGGTTTTTTCAGATTCATCATTTTCTGTCTGCATCAGTAGAAGGTTCAGGGGGCTTGACATGACACAGAAGGTGATCATGTCTTGCATGAATAAGCTGGAAGTTTTCAACTGTTTGGCAGATCAGCCACAAATTACAAATCTTGACTAGGCAAGAGGCGAACTGGTGAAACTATGAGCTGAATGATCTTGCAGGAAACCTAGGAGAAAACCTGTAATGTGAAACCCTAACTGGAAGAAGGCTGATTTGGTTTGGATTAACCTTGGTGAAGGTACATCTGAGAAAGACATCTCTGTGGCATTAAAAATCTGTGAAGATCAGTTCTTACAGCTGCTCTGGGCTCCTGAGGGACAGCGTGTGTCCATCTCGTGAGTTAACCCCTGTGAAAGGCTCCATGGTTGGGATCATTTAGTGAGGTACAAAGCTGACGTTGGAAACAAGGGGTGGAAGTGATGCCTGACAAATTCAGCTGCAGGAAACAGTTTGCTGTTAACTTTTCATGTATTTCAAGCCTTTCTGGTGTAACAATTTGCTGTTAGAGTCAGATTTAAGACATGGAAAAGAAACTAATAATGTTGTATAGTAGGGATGTGGCCACAAGAATCAAAAGAAAAAAGTCCTTCATTCTCTTACATTGTCAGGTACCATTTCAGAGTATTCTAGTTCAAATTTAAGGAAGACTGGAAGTTGCAGAAGAAAGAGATAAGGAGGAGTTTCATGTGGCTTATTACAATGTACTGGCTTTCAGGCATTGTTTCAACTTCATAGTTATGGTCAATCTTAAATAAAAAAGTTAATGCTGTATTCTCTTCTATAGGCCAAAATCATCCTGCAATGTAGTTCTTTTGGTCCCATTGATACTGCTTTGGTTTTGCAGCCTTACAGGATCAATTGAAAATGTATCTGATGTGAGGTGGGTGGGTCGGCTGTAGGCTTACTTACCTGAATCAAATATTCTTCCAAAAATCTTGCCTACTGATTTTAGTACCACTGCCACTAATTTTAAGATGAATAAGGAAGACCCATATAATAAAGCATATGAAATTTCAAATGATGACACACTCATTGGGTTCAGTAGTGCTGCTAAAGTTTAGCAGGGACTTCCCCTAGATGCTTCACAATTGCTCCTCTGCAACCACAATATAACCATGATCTGAGAAATTCAGAGGCTTTACTCTGGAAACAGGGTCATGGTCACTCCCATCCCAGTGTGCCATGAACAGGCAGTTTGGCTGATGTATGGCCTGACTGGTCAGTGGCTGATTTTGTGGGTCATTTTTTTCAGCTTCTAAATTAGGAGACTATGTTAGCTACATTTTGCCTTTTATTCCTTTTTTTTAATTTTTTTTTTTTTTAAACAGGATGGGCTTTAGATTTTTTTAGCTTTCAACCTATCATACAGCTTAGCAATGTGATGAAAACTTAGTTGCCTGCTGCCTAGGTGATTCAGTACTCCGGCCACAAAATTCTGCTACTACCTCCTGCAATGAAGAAGTATTTAATTCAGAAATGCATCTCCTCATGTCTCTCCCAGTGTGTCTCAGGGATACAGAAAGAGGAAAAATGAGAAACTCTGTATGTGGGTTAATCTGATGCATCCCAAGAGGGCATAGAAAATCAGTCATTTTTTTTCAGCAGTGTTGTGAGATGAAAAGTTGTTCATTTCTTGTAATTCTCATCTTTAGTAAAAGGGAGTGACAGGCTCTCTTAGCTGTGAAGACCCACACAAACACTAGCAAGAGCTGGACAGACAGTTACTGCATAAAAATTCTGTAGCAGACTGACTGTACTTAGAATTTTAAGAGCATTGCTTTGCTAAGTCATGCATTACTTTCCTATTTACTAATTATCGAGCAGAAATGCCTTTTTTCCCCCCTTTTTTTTGTAAGTTTTCTAGTCAAGCCTGGTTCTTTGAACTCTGAGTGTCCTGATCCTCACTCCACGGGCATCACCGGTAAAATTAAACTAATGGAAGTAGTAGCTGGGTCGATACTTGGTCCTGTTCTGCGGCGTGCCTGAACTACCTCTGGGTTTCTGCAAGCTCTTGCCCCCTCTAGTGTCAGCTCGGTTCCTGCTTCCCCTAAAGCCTGCAGGCGAGGTATGATAAATGTAGCAGGACTTGGCATTTCATTAAGTCCAAACCGTGCCCTTCAGAAGGTCACAGCCCCCAGTGATTCCTCGATTTCCTCAGTTCTTGTCTGTAAGAGCAAAATTCGATTGTTACTGTCAAAGTTTTCTCCTCTAGCCACGTACCGTCAGCGCCGATTTTGCCATCACCGTCCTTGTCTCCAGCAGCCAGCAGAGCCTTCGTTTCTTTGTCTGAGAGGTCTCTTCCATCTGGGGTAAAGCCCTTCAGTACAAACCTAAAGAGGAGGCACAGGAAAAAAACGAAAGTTTGTTTTTTTTTTTTTTCCCCAGAATAGTTTCACTTTGTATTTATTTGTACCACTGCTTTGATATGTGAATTAGAAGCCAGGGTTGTATCTTCTGTTGTTGACCTTCTTTAACATTCAGAAGTGCTTTACTCTGAAACTGCATTTGACTGAACGCATTGATCATCTGTGTGTCGTAGGGATCCTGCAAGAAAAGTTAGGACTAGCTACCTCCAACACACTTTAGATCACAAAATCAGCAAAATGCTGATTATGGCACATAAATACTACTCAAGAGATTGAAATGTACATTGTTATCTAGAGTCTTGTAAGAAAAGGAAACAGTGAATTAGACTCTTGAGTCTAGGTTATTTGAGAAAGGATGTATCTTTACTTACTTTAGTTCTTCCTCTTCGATGAAGCCACTTCGATCTTTATCAAGAATATGGAAAACCTTCTTCACATCTTCTGGGCTCTTCTTTTTCAATCCTACCATCTCGAAAAACTTCTTGTAGTTAAAAGATTCAGCCGCTGTAGGAGATGAAAAGCCACGGAACTGCTTAGAAAAATCACTGAGATGTGCACCAACACACAGTGGTGTTTTTACTCCCCACTGGTGCCTGTCCTGCCCTGGGAGGCACAGTCTAGCTCAGCTGTGGTCAGAGCTGGGTGTATGCACTGCAACCATCCACGCTTCACAGACACTGATGGAAAGAAAGGGGAGAGGGGCAACATCTCTGCTTTGCAGATGAAGAGCTGAGCTCCAGAGGGATGGAGACTTCCCCAAGGTCACCCAAGAAGTCTACGACAGAGTTGGGAGCTGAAGTCTAACCTGCTTTGTTCCTGTACTCATTTCAGTGCCCTAAACCCTTCTTTGCCAAGTTTTACGCTAAACCGGTCACCTGAGAGTGGACTCTGGCTATTAGATCACTGTCACTTTGGGGCATTTCCAGCCCAGAAAATACAAACCAAACCCCCACGCTCTCACTCAACCACGAAGCCTGGCACTGACGGGAGCTGTTTCGGGCCACATGGCTACCTCAGCTCCGTTCCGTTTGTCCTGAAGACTTGCTAGAAATCAGTGTTGCATTTTGACAGCTAAAGGTGGGGGCAATCGTGTTTGTAGGCTCAGACGCTGCGAGGGAGTGCTGTACTCCAGGCTGCCTGCAAGACCTCCTCAGGCACCAGCGCCCAGGAGGAAGGAGGAAAAAAACACCAAACAAACCGGCCAGAGCTCTAGAAATCGGAGCCGAGCTGGATGAGTTTACCTGCTCCACCTCTCCTGTCCTTTAACCGCACCAGTCGCCTAAGGACTGCGGTGTGGGTTAGAAAGGTGGGGATTAGAACAGCGTGAATGAGAAATCCGATACAGTGACCTCCAAAATCTGCTGTGGACTCTTTTTTTTTTTTTTTCCCCTTCCCGCCGCAGCTTTTCCTATTACATAAAATTAAGGAGGCTCAGTCTTTCGGGATCTACTTGACTGAGATCTGTCATTAGCTGGTGCTAATTGCATCTGCTCCCGGACTTGGAAATGGCCCTAGAACAATGGAAGCTAATGAGAAAAACAGCTGCTGGGTCGAGAGAAGCCGTTTGTCGGTCCCTTCGCCCCTCTGGCTGCTGAGTTTAGTCGTGCTCGGCGGGTTTTGGGCTGCTGCCTGTTCGGGAAGGTCACGGCACACACCGGGACAGAAAGAGGCTGCTTTCCTGGGTGGTGCGACCAGCCAGGTAGTCTTGGGGGAGGAGGGAGCTAACGTGCTTCCCGGAGCACGATTTCTGGCATTTCTTTGAGAGCAACCTTAACTACTCGAATCCCTGTAAGCACGGAGAGGATTTGCTGTCGGTTGGAGGGTGAGGATGAATTAGAGGGGCAGGGAATATCTGCAACCCGGGGGAGTCAGGGAGGGAAGTGTGGAGCGCTGCATGCAGCCATTCGTCCTGCAGAAAGCTTCTGCAGTCGAGCAGTGCACCCGCTTGCTCTACTGTTGCCTTCTGCTCCATCCCGAAAAGCAAAGCCCAGCCGGGGATTCCGCATAGGAAGTAAGAAAAAAATTTCGTAGCTCCTTGAAACAAGAAAAGGCAGTTCTGTAATACCTGAAACTCAGTTTCGGGGGTGAGTGGCAAGCAGCCGACATTGACGGCTCATCCAGGTATAACCCACCCTAGTTCGCTGGGGGTTTTGTTCCTTTTGAAAGTATCCTCTCCGTAGAGGCAAAGTCTGACCGCAGTTACTGTTTGCTTTCCTTTAAAGTATTGCACCTCTGTAATGTGCAGGGGAAATTTGCTGAGGATGCAGCCCTGTACTTGATAAACCTGTCAGGCTTTCACTGCACTTCTGAGAACACATCCTCCTTTGATATTTTGTCTAGCCGGATCCCCGAGCTTCAGTAAATGCGCTACTATCCTAAGCTGAAGAGAAGAAAGGAATTAAAAACAATAAGAAAAGAAAGCACTCACCTGAAAAGGCTCCCACAGCCTTTTTGATATCCTCAGCGCTGAGCACGTCAGTCATAGCCATCCTGCAACTGTTTGAACAGGGAGGCAAGTGCGAAAAGATTAAAAAGTGCTTTCCTCATCATTTCTGCTCATATGACCAAAGCTGCAGTGCCGTGTGGGGACGGCACACCGGGAGAGGCTGGCCCCGCGCCAGCTCCGGGGCTCTGCCTGGCTGAGTGCCACGGGCTGGCGCTCCGAGTAGTCCACGGACGCCAGGCTTCGGCTAAAGAGAGGGTACAGGGATGCCCTTGCGGGGAGCGGGGTGGGGGAGGACGCGGGTGAGGGTCGATCCCCGAGAGGTGGGAGCTGGAGCCTTACTGGAGCGGTGCCAGGGTCTGTCGTGCTACCGTCTGGAGGGAGGGTTTTGCCAAGGTCAAGTTCTCGGGTGCGGTGGGAGACCGAGTGGTGCAGCGCAGAGCCTTTCCCTTTAGGAAGTCAGGACGAGTTTTAGCAGTTCGAGTCGGTGATGAGTAAGGAACTGCAGCATATGCCAAGTTTCGAGCTGCTCTTGAGGTCGGGAAGCAAATCGAATGTAGCTTTTGAACATTTGCCTTATCTTTCAAAGGGTTTAAACATCTCCCCCTTCTCCCGTCCCCCTCCCCTTCGCGCACACGTTCCTTTTAGACCTCGTTTCTTTCGGGCCACTCCATATTAAGCATCATCCTCGCTGAATTAATTATCACATCCCTGCGAATCCTACAGATCCCGTTTGTAATGCACAATATGCTGCAGAATCTTTCACGATATGATATGGGGAGACGAGATGCGAGGTGACGAGATGCTCGTGCGGAGCTCCAGGGCAGTGGTGGGCTTCTCAGGCGGGACCGGGGGCTCCCCGACACCGTCAGAGGAGATTTAGGAATTGCATTTTTTAGGGTTCTTTTTTTTTTTTTTTCTCTCCTCCAAGAAACTGTGCCCATATTTCACAGGAAACATGGCAAGTAGTCCAACTCGCTCTTAGAGTTTGGGCGGGAGCCATTAGGCTGAGATAGCCAAGGTTTGGGCCCAGTAGTAGGGCAGATCTCTGCAGGAGTGTTGGCATCTCTGCCCCAGGAACGACGGGGGAAGGGCAGAGCGGTGGCAGCGAGGTCCCCACGCTGCCCGTCGCCTCGTGGCTCCCCTCGCGGGTCCCCCCCCCCCCCCCCTGCCGCAATGTGCACCCTGGTCCCGAACGGGACCGGAGAGAGCGGCTGCTGCAAGAACTCGGCTCGCTCCCCCAGCGCCTCCTCGGCACTTTTAGAGGTGTGACCCCCCCCATCCCTGTCCCTGCCGCCCGAGCTGGGCTGTGGCGGGTGAGTCGTTAGGACGGCACCGAGCGCAGAAGGACGGAGGAGGAGGTGGAGACGTTGGGGTCTCCTTCTTCCCCACCCTTCCCTTTTCTTTTTTAAACAGCGACTCTTCGTTGTGGGAGGGACTGTCGTTTTTCTCTCGTTTGAACTTTCGCCCCCTCATTTCCGTGTGTTAGCTGAGATACAAGAGAGGCTTAGCTTTCTCCTAGGACAAACAAGGAGACGGATGGGGGAGCCGAGCCCCTCTCCCTAGGTTAAGAGGAGCAGGAGGAGCTGTGCGCTCGGCTGCTGACCCCCCGGGGCAGGCTGCAGCCCCACAGCTCAGCTCAGTTCTCGCTCAGCTGCCCCCGCGGTTTCCGAGCTGGGCGGTGCGGGGGTGCGGCAGACACAGGGCTCGGGTTGCTCGGCTCTCTTGCTTTATCTTGGAGAACGGCGTTGAAAAAGCCTCTTGTAGGACAGGTTAATCCACAATCCTCAGTCTTGTTTTACCCTTGGGTTAAACGTAGACTCCTCAATATTCACCTATTTGCAAGACAAATCGACGTGCCTGATCTTACGTGATGGGTATCCCTTTGCTTCTCCTGAGCTGGTGGAAGAAAGCAGAGTCCCTTCTTGTCCCCAGCGCAGGTGCCCCCGACCTGGCGACAGCATCGACGCTCAGGCCACCCTCGGTAGCAGCCTGCGAAGGAGCTGGGCC